GGTCCCCCTTTTCCAGGACTCACCCCCGGGGAGTGCATCTTCCAGAAAAGCTTCTTCTGAAAGAAGCCTATAGTCTAGATGTAGCCTTTGCATTTATCAACATTAAAATTCATTTGCCATTATGTTGCCCAGTCATTTAGTTTTGTGAGCTCTTTTTGAAGCTCTTACCCCATGATGTCTTACTTTACTTAAGAGCCTTTGGTGATGGACTTTCTGGAAACCTAATTATGCTATTACCACTGGATCTCCCTTGTCTACATGTTTGCTGACCCCCTCAGAGAACTCTAGCTGATTAGTAAGGCATGAATTCCCTTTATAGAAACCATGTTGACTTTCCCCCAACGAATTATGTTCATATATATGTCTGACAATTTTTTTTTTTTCTGTAATTTCAGCTAATGTGCCCAGCACTGACTTACTGGTCTGTAATTGCCAGGATCACCGTTAGAGCCCTTTTTTAAATACTGACATCACATTAGCTATCTTCTAGTCATTAGGTACAGACCCTGATTTAAAGGATAAGTTACAAATCACAGTTAATAATTCTGCAATTTCATATTTGAGTTATTTCAGAACTCTTGTGTGAATGCCATCTTGTTCCAGTGACTTGTTACTATTAAGTTTATCAGTTTATTCCAAAACCTCCTCTAGCGACACCTCAATCTGGAACAACTCCTCCAATTTGTCACCTAAAAAGAATGGCTTGGGTTTGGAAATCTCCCTAACATCCTCAACCATGAAAACCAAAGAATTCATTTAGTTTCTCTGCAATGACCTTTCTCCTTTAGCATCTCGATTGTCAGGGGCCCCACCGGTTGTTTAGCAGGCTTCCTGCTTCTGATGTACTTAAACATTTTGCTATTTCTTTTTGAGTTTTTGGTTAGCTGTTCTGCAAACACCTTTTTTGGTTTATGCTCCTTTCTGTTTTCTTCACTAGAATTCAACTTCTACTTTTTAATCTCTCTCTGCTTCTTTTGCTTAGTTTTTAAGCCACAGTGGCACTTTTTTGGTTCTCTTACTGTATTTTTTAATTTGGGGTATACATTTATAAAACACATGTGCAAAGTAATCAGTGAGTTGTCAGGCAAATGGCAAGCTTCTTGTTAGTTCCAAACCTGGCTGATTGATATTCAAAAAATTGAATCTAGCTTAGATGTAATATATCTAGTTTAAGTAACAATATAGTTTATATCTAATACATCTATCTGGTATCTATTTGTTATTTTAATGTTTTAGATTTGTGTGTATGGTTCAGCACTTAACTGTTGCATTTATTACTAGTTTTCATACAGTGAAGTATTTTATATATTCATGGCTTCCAAATACTTCATTGCTGAACCTCAGGAATTATCTGTCTTATCAAATTGTAAACAAAAACCCAGCAGCTTATTTCTCAGCAGGGCTTATGGCAATCATCCAAAAACTGGGGTTGTGTTCAGAACACTGGCAAAATAAAAATGACATCTTCTCGCTCCTCATTCAGTAGATGTGTCTGAGTTCCAGTTCATGCATCATCTCTCAGAATTGTTAGTTAAATTCTAACTGCGGAATCTTAATTTTTTGCTGATGTTCCAAGCAGTAAGAGCCTAGCAGCACTTTCACATTTTAGGCTGAGTTGTGTCGCCAGCTGTTAGGAAAACTGGGCCCTATTCATCATTGCCCTATGGCCCTTTTTACATCTCCTGGCATGTCTTTCATTACACCCAGATGTAGAACTTGCTTTGTTAGCACCTCCTCTACCACAGCCCTACTCACAGTGTGTTTCAGGAAAAGCTCCTTTTTTCTTTAACGTGTTGTCTTCGTCTGCCTTCTTCCCCCCCCCCAAAAAAAGAGTAGGAACTAAGGTCCCAGCTCTACAAAGCACTTCTGTATATGCTCAGCTTCATACGCAGTCTTGGGTGTTTTGCTAAATTGGGCTTTAAGGTCTGCAGATTTGCAAATAGTTTACAAAAACACCCTGATTCCCATTGCATAACAGTTTGGTATTATGCAGATCCTTTTTTATTATGCAACTTGTTACCAGTCCTCACTGGCTTATATAAACTTTTCCTGTCATCAAGAAACACCCATGTTATAAATATTGTAGATAAGAGGGAATATGTAAAATATCTTGAACTTTAAAATTAATAGTGCATAGTGTTCCATTGCATTAAAGTTGCTATAAGGATCAGTAAAATGTTCTCAAGACAAAGTACTGATGAATAGAAATGTTTTCCTCTTACTAATATTCCATGAACTCTTCCTGTGGGTAATCTTTCCAGACACCAGAGCTTGTGGTGTTAGATGTTTTCACTAGCATTTATTTGTCTAGTTGTACCTTTGTGGGGATTTTTTGATTTTACCACATGATCTTTACTGTAAAGTACAGTAATGACTGAGCTGACATTGAAGTATTTTGCTGACACCGGGGCAAAAGATTGGTTAAAATGGGTACTACTCTTTCATAGATTTTATTAGGAGCTCCAGGTCTTGGATCTCAGATGTTGTCAGGATGCACAGAATGCTTATGAAAGATGCTTTATCATGCAAGTACTCAGCTGAAATTCTGATAGTAACCTTTAGCGTTGTGAAGTTACTTACTCTATTGTCATCTTGATCCACTTTCACCCTGACTTGATTAGTTTCATTTAACATAAGCAACTTCTTTCTTATAAAAAGCCCTGCTTCTGTAACTTCCATTCCAATTCATCTGCTGAAGTGGTTTTACCCACAAAAGCTTATGCCCTAATAAATCTGTTAGTCTTTAAGGTGCCACAGAATTCCTTGTTGTTGTCTGCCAATACAGACTAACACTTCTATCCCTCTGAGACTTAATAAATATGTGTTCATCAATACTTCTGGAGAAAATGTAAGCTTTTTTCTCCCTGGCATGTTTAGTCATTTCTGCTCAGTAGAGTTTCAGGACAGGAATAGCAGCTCTATTGCAAGTGATGATGGACTTGCATAGGCAGAGCTGCATGTATGGGACACTTTCAAAGCTGCTGTTTGTATTAGAATTGTCTCTGCCTTGTTCTGTTAGCATCTCACAAACACTCTGTTCTCTTAAAAAAAAAAAAAAAAACCTTAAAAAACAACAAATACTCTGGTAACACCTTAAAGACTAACAAAACAGCTATGTTTATACTGTGCTATTTTGCGCAAAAAATATGCAAATGAGATGAAGCATGGACTATTGCCATGCCTCATTTGCATAATTTAATTAATGAGCGGCCGCTTTTTGCGCAATAGGCTCTTGCGCAAAAAAGAGCTGTATAGATGGCTCCTTTCTGCGCACAAAACCCTTCATGGGCAAGAGCCGTTATTCTGCTTTTTTTCAGGAAGAATGACTCTTGCGCAAGAGGGGGTTTTCTCACAAAAAGCGGCTGCTCGTTAATTATGTAAATGAGGTGTGGTGATATTCTACATCCATGGTGGCCAGGATGGTGTTTTCAGGAAGTTTACTGATGTTTTGTAGTTTCCTCAGGAAATCGGTTGTGTCTCAAAGATAAGTAGGAGCACTGGTAACACAGGGCCTGGGAAAAAAGTCAATAAAGTCAGATAATCCTGTTGTAAGTGTGCCAATGCTTGAGATGATGGGTCATCTGGGATTTCCAGGTCTGTTATCTTGGGTAACTGATAGAAAACTCCTGGTCAAGGATAGCAGGGGTGTTAGTGTAAATTTGTTCCTGAGCAGCATCACAGAGCTTCATGACTAGTTGCTTCTACACAGCCTTAAAAACAATTCTAACGTCATAATCCAAGAGGCTGACAAAGAGGGTGCTGTAGTCACCGGCTGTGTCTACATTGGCACCCTTTTCCGGAAAAGGGATTCTAATGAGACCAGTCGGAATTGCAAATCCCCGGGGCATTTGCAATTCCGACTGGTCTCATTAGAATCCCTTTTCCGGAAAAGGGTGCCAATGTAGACACAGCCGGTGACTACAGCACCCTCTTTGTCAGCCTCTTGGATTATGACGTTAGAATTGTTTTTAAGGCTGTGTATAGCATTGCGTTCTGCATGACTGAGGTTGTATGTTATATGCTGTTGTTTGCTGACTGTCAGCTCGAGCATGTTTGTGGAAGCAGTCCATGTAGAAATCAAGACTCTCGTTACAACCGTTAGTAGGGATCCACATAGGAGCCTTCCTCTTGTTCTCTTAAGAGAGTCAAAATGAAGCCTGTTTCCAGTAAGTTTTCCAGGGTCATCAATAACATAGAGCCATGCATACATAGAACGGTATTTCAGTAGGCTGCAGAAAACATTGTGCCATCCAACAACACTCTCGTCACTTGCATTAATTGTTTTGGGTTTGGTTTTTATTTTTTGTAAAAGGATTTAATATGCTTTTAAAGTCTGACTGACCAACTTCGGCATGTTGCCTTTATTTGAAACTTCAATACCTCCATACATCCAGATCTTCAAAAGCTCGCTTGAAAAGTGCAAAAGTCCAATGTAGGCATGTGGCCACTGCTATGCCCATATGTAACATAAGACTTACACTCGTGTAAGTGTGAAAGGAATCAGTCCTGTAACTCCCAGAGTAATCTCTGGGATTACTCCTGATATATGCTAGTGTGAGAAGAAAATCAGGAAAAATGGCCCTGTAGGAACAATGTCCAGTTGTTAGCCATAATCCAAAGGCTTTAGATGTCAATGAAAAGATATTAAGGAACTTTGAAATTGGGTATTTTATGCACAGGTCATTCAGGAGCATGCATCTTCCAATATTTGGACCACTAATTCACAAGATCGGAAAATACACACCCTTTTGTACGTCCACTTTCTACTTTTGCACTGAGCTATTGTCTCATCCCTTCTCTTCCAATCTTACCTTATAATGTTGCGGTTAGTTTGGGACTGACTTTCCTTACAAAGCACCATGGTGATATTCTAACCTGAAATAATTTTATGCCAGAAACAAATTCTGCAACTTGCTGTGCATTTCTGTAATTAACTGTGGCAGAGCCCTAACATTCCCTCCTCACAATGTGGATTTTTTTCCCCGTTTGTTTTTTGCTAGATTTCACAGGGAGCCTCACAGAATGATTTACAGAAAAAAAAGAGGCGTGCCCCTCCACCACCAACTCCTCCTGTTCAAACCATGCCAAACAGAACAGAAGAAAAAGAAGACAAGAGGAAGAGCACAATGGGTAAGCACATTGCTTTTCTTTGTTCTTTAATCCAATGCATGTGCTTTAAGTGGCTGGGCTTGCTGTTTGAAGATTTCCAGAGTAATAAAAAGCAAATAAAACTCCTTGGGGTGATGACTGTGTTTCTGCATGGCATTAAAGGTGCTTTGGCTCAACTCTCCATTCTCTTCATTTGAGCTATGACCATTTGCACCAGCTGAAGGTCTGCCCCATTGTTTTCAAAGCCATCACCCTTGCTGCTGTTAAATACACTTTGTCCTTTTGTCCCAGTGTGGTTTTATGTCAGTACGTGCCATAGAGTTTTGTTCTTGTCCCCGGTCCTGTTTGAGATGACTCTGCATTCTCCGAGTCTTTAGCTAATCAGTGCAAGAAAAGAACCGGTCGGTTCTGAAATAAATTTGGTAAGTACCACAAGAAAATAAAGAAAAGTTTAGTTTTCAGTTTTATGTGCTTTAGCTTATTTATTCACACCCAGATAGAAAGAGAGACTGAGAAAAAGTCCTCCAGGTATTTCAGGTCACAGGGAGTTATGTCTGCAAGATTATTCCCTTAGATAAGAAACTGATTTCTGAAAGATACGAGCTAATAACCCCACGCATTGGAACTCATTATCCAGTACATTAAGGGAATCATTTAAGAAGTGCTACAGTGCACTTGACACACTCCAGTTTGCATCTTCAACCTCAGCATTTTCACATAGCAGCAGACATGCATATAGGATACCATATAAAATGAACACCCTGTCATGCATAATTGCTGGCATTGCAAATGCTTCACACTTTAGAAAGAAACCTCGTGGCTTTGTTTCAACATTTATTTTCAGTAAATGCCTCACATTTAATGTGTCAGCATTTATGTAGTGAAAGGAGTCCATTATCCTGTAATATGTTTGACTCCATTGGCATCTCTTCTTTAAACTCTCTAAGGAGAATGCTATCACTGTGCAATATAACATAACCATTTTCAGAAAAATTGGCTGCGTGTTAACTATTAAATATGTCACAATCTGTCATTCCCAATGCCTCTCCCTACAACCACAAGTCAATACTGATAACATTTGGTGTTTTAACTTTGTTAATGTTAACTTTATTTTATGTCACTGCTTGAAGGGTTATAGCTGAAATAAAACAGAACAGAACCACACATTTCTGTCCACAGCCATATAGCTAGATTAGCCAGACCCCTAGCTGATATAAATTGGCATAGATCCATTGACTTTAATGGAGCTTTGCTGATTTATACCAGTGAAGGATATGTTACATAATAATCTCCTATATACTTTTAATTTTCTGCTTCAGTCTTAGATGAATATATTTATTGAGATTACCGAGCTTCCCTTGTAAGATTGTTTAAACAGCTTCTTTGGGATGATAACTCTGAAACCATGAGACAGCACAGATGTCTTGGGAAACAAAACGGAAGGAGTAAATAAAGCAAGACAGTAGAAAGAGCAGCACAATGGGGCAGATTAAAACACCTCTTTTAACACTAACCATACTAACTGGAATTTTAAAATCATGGAAAAAACTGGCAAATGAATCAGCTTAAATATTTAACATCAAATTGCTTAGAAGACTGACTCTAAAGTGCTGTGCCTAACTTTCTTAAAGCAGTCAAAAAGGACACTGGAGTTCAAACGGGCATTAAATTGTTCCTTGCACCTTTATAAGGTGGATATTGCCTATGAAAAACCTGTTCAGTGAAATCTTTTTGGACCTTGCTCCTGAATCACCGCTACACTAACGCATTCAGGACCAGGCTTTGAAGGCCTTCTAAGAAGTTTAAAGTGTTATTCATCCCACAGTGCCAAATTTAAACTCTTTGGCGAGGCTTGGGTAAAGTTGGCTGATTGATAGCTCAGAATTATTCCTAGTGGTTTAGTAATTCCATTTAAGGTTTGGTGAGGCTGGATCCTTTCCATAAACAAGAAGAGAGTATGAGATAGTCAGAAGCCACAGGGGCCTACTGGACTTCAAGTGAATGTCAGTGGTAGCTGAACATGACTGTAGCACAATCACACATGGAGAGCATGTTTTTCAGACCTATGAATTATCATGTGTATCTTTCTCTCACTCCAAAAGGAGAGAGAGATCAAACGTTTCCAGGGTTTACCCATCACCAAGAGCAAACAGGGTGCGACACTGCTGATATTTATTGAGATATCTAATAATCTAAAAGAGACTCATTTATATCATGTGGCATGCACAATACCCAATTAAGAACTATTATGAGGATCTATGAATTCTTATCCAGGTTAGAAACTCAATCATACAAACCTCAACAAAACAAGCAGCCTCTGCACGCTGTCAAAACTAAAAAGAAAAACAAGTAAAAAGAAAATGAAAGCCCAAATAGCACATCCACTCAGAAATACCAGCCTTCACTATTCCCCTGCCTCTTCAAAAGAGTCAGGGAAATAGACAGTTTTACATAGTATCCTATAGATGAGCAGATTTGGGCTCTGTCAGATCAAGAGATCCTGAAGGAGGGAGGGTTCACCTTCCTCTACAACATGGGGCATTTGCAGATTTAAACTAGAGCAAATGGTAGGTTTTCCATAACTTGACATCTTTAAATAATGATTTGAGAACTTCGGTGAATTAGCTAGAAATTATGGGTTTCTTACAGGAGTGGATGGGTGAGGTTCTGTGGCCTTCAGCATGATCATGATGATCCCATCTGACCTTAAACTTTACGTTGTTAGGGCTACATCAGGGATCAATGCTCCATTGGCGGTTGATTTAGCACAGTGGTTCCCAAACTTTTTGGCATCACGCCCCCCCTTTTTGATTTTTGAGAAACCCTTATGCTCCCCCCCCAAAATAGCAGTAAAACTTGGAGTGGGATTGATGGGAGTGTGTGGCTGTGTTGCCTCGTGCCCCCCCAGGAATTTCTTCATTTCCCCCCCCCAGGGAGGCACACCCCCCAGTTTGGGAACCCATGATTTAGCAGGTCTAGTGAAGACCTGCCAAATCGACTGTAGATCACTCTACAGTCAACCTCTGTGCTCTACCCCGACAAGAAAAGTAAAATAAGTCGATGGGAGAGTTTCTCCCATCAACCTCCTCTGTGGTGTAGACTCAATGGTAACTTGATCTAATGTTCATTATTAACATACCTGGAGTTGTGTATCATAAGTCAACTTTCTGCGGTAGCGTAGACATAGGCTAAGGAAGAAACAAACGTTTATAAAATCTCAGGAAGATATTTTCTGTATAATGTTTGTAGTGTGTTTTACTATTTGTCAAAAAATCAATTGAGATTTATGGTGATTGATGTGTATAGATTGTTATATACATGTATCTATTGGGCCTGATTCTTATCTCGTGTACCTAAATTTAACAGCAGAATGTTTCCAGTGATTTTCTCCTGGTTCACATTGGTGTGATAGAGAGCAGAATCAGATCCAGACAGAGTCGACCATCGAGGGAGAGGGTGGGTGAATACACACGCTTTTGTGTGTTTTAAAAGAAACTTAAAAAGAATTGACAATAAAAGTAACTAGCTAATTGATCCTCCTGTAGGTAATGGACGACAGATGCCACAAAAGCCTCCTAGAGGCAATACACGTGGTCCACCCCAGTTAGTGATTCCCCCTCCCCCACCTTACCCTCCTCCTGACACAGACATTATGGATTCAACCGACTATTACAGTGAAGCACCTGATGTTACAACACCAACAAACCTGGTACCTAAACGTATGTTTAAAAATATATGTATTTCCTTCTCATTTCTTTAGCGGTTACTCTTGAGGAAGCTTTTCCAGACTTTCTTCTCAGTTCTCCAGACATACTTTTTTTTTTCTTTTCCAGCCTTTCTTCTTGTGAAATGCTCAATGCATTATATCAATATGATTAATTAATAGGAGGTGAATGAAACATTTGCTTATAGATATTGTTGCTGCAGCTTCTTAGCTCTTATATAGAGAAAAGTAAATCCAACTGTCTAAACATGCAGTTTCATGCATTTCAAGGCAAAAAAATCTGTGATTTAGTATTTGATTTGTTTCTTCATAAACATTCTCCCTCTCCCTCCGAAGACATAGGTTCAATAAACTATTGAACAACCATTGTAATCTGTCAGACTAATATTTTCCACACTTTTACAACCTGAAGCCCCTGTTCAAGAAAATGAAATCAGTCACACTCACCACATATTTTAAAGACGAATTCACCTTAGTATGTACATCTTTCATGCCCACCAGACTAGCCCAAGGTGCACTCTCTTCTTTGGGAAATCTTATTAGACAATGCAGTGTGATAGTTGTAGCATTCTTCCTTATTTGTGTGAAACATGTTTCAGAAATATCATATAGACTTTTTTCAGATCTTGGTTTATGATCTAAGGCTCAGATCCTGCAGATGACTTCACATGGGTATGTCCCTTTGCATGCACACAGCTTGGTCAACAGGGCTCTTCAAAGGTACAGGATCGTCTCAAGTGCAGTAATTTGCCGAACCAGAGCCAGTTTGTTAACCGCGTGAATATGATAGTGTATCTACGCTAATCCCACTGAGATACTTCTCTGGGAACTTTTCATTGCAAAGATTATAATCTAAGTAATTCTCTGCCCAATGTATAAATGTTGGAGTGGGGCTGGTTGTTGCCTACAAGCTAAACTCAATGCATTATTGTTCAAATCATAGGTAAAGAGATATGTAGAATGTCAAGTTTTATAAGGGAGGTGGGGAAGAAAGGTTTGTACCAAGGATTTCTGTTACTAGAAAACACAAGTGTTAATGTGGATTAACCTATTTTATTCCTACCATTGTATGAACAAATTTCTTGTTGTAATTAGATTTTTTATTTGATACCATTGGATTATACCCAGTGGTTCTCATCTTAAAGATCTGTTCTGGACATATTTTAATCAATATTTGTGCTTCAGCTGACTTCATTACAATATTTTCCAATGCTCCTCTCTGGCAATCAAATGCATTTTATGCTACTCTGATTTTTATCTGCCAGATCATTCGTTCTTAAACAAAGGCGATATCCCAGCCAAAAGTGTTTAATTTAAGCTTTTACTTGGAAACATTACCTGAGAGTTTAGTATCCTCAGCTCATGGAAGTGGAGCTTAGTACATCTTTTAAGAACTCTTATTCAGTGTTGAATCTGGTCAAACCTACACCGATTTCACCTTCATATTTATAATCTGTACTCCACTAGAAATATACATACAGGTTGATCCTCTCTGGTCTGGCATGGTTTTAGTTAGCTGGATGTCTGCTTATCATGGATGTGGCCGATATTCTTGCAGTCCATAAAGTTTGATTACAGCCACCAGTGCTGGCTGTCAGTGTTCTGTGCTGTTATTTAGCTCTAATTTACCCCTAAATGTCTTCTAAGAGCCCAATAGGCAGTGGACATGTTGGTAATGCTGCTAGACAATATTGACCTCCCATGGTTCAGCAAATTCTCTGGTTTGGCCAGATCCTGAGGGTGCCAGACTAGAGAGTTTCAACCTGTATTATATACTCTATGTTTTCTTAATCAGTTCCTGCAGTTATGTGCAACTTTATCTCTGTGAAGAGAAAAGGAGATGGAAGTCACCACATTGCTTTGTGCATGTCTGAAAGTTGCTCAGATGCCCTAGCAAAAGATGCGAAATAAGATCTCGAATAAAAGTAACTGGTGGAGTTTGCTATGCAACACACAAAAGCATCTGAAATATTTTAAGAGAAAATCCTGTTTTTATGATGATTACATCAGATAACTGTGCAAATCTCAACAAATATTGGTAGAACAGGGCAACTTCAGAGCACAGATGGCTTGTCTAGTCTATGCCGAAGTTCTGAAAGAGGATATGCAAATTCTGCAGGAATTTGCATATTTTCTTTCGATCTTACTTTCGAAAGTGAAAGTAGTCGGGACGCACTTCCTTAAAAAATAAGGTTTATGCAGCTTTTCAAAAAAAAGGGGGAGGGTTGCCGGAAAAAACGTGTCCCAACTACTTTCCTGCGGAATTTGCATAGTCTTTCATATCCTCTTTCAGAACGTCAGCGTAGTCTAGACATAGCCAGAGTGAGAAGAACATTTCTACTCTGTGCTCCTGCTTTGTCTTCAGTGAATTCTTAAGCAGTGGGGTGAATAGGAATTTTGGCATTGGCTTTAGTGAAGCCAGAATTTCATCCACATTCTCTTGACCTCTTTGCTGTGGCTACCCTGCCACGTCCATAGAAGCTGCAGCCAATGGGAGCTTTGCACATGTTGCAAACATGAAGAAAATTAGCTTTTTCCAAAAATGGAAGTATTCATTTAAAAGGTCACTAAAACCCCAATAGGTAGATCTATGTAACTGCTGTATCTGAATTTAGGTTCTTAATTTTAAGCAAGTTAGACTTAAATACAGGAGATGGGATTAGAGGATGTGGGGTGGGAGTTGAGTGGGTTAGAACCACTCATGAGTTTTCAGTGATGTCCTGTTGCCTGAGAACGCTTTGTATACTGCAGGTAGAAGCTACAGAGAAGATTCCTAGAGCATATTTAGATTTAGATTTAGATTTAGACAATAAATGTTTTCTCAGAAAAATGTGGGAGTAAGAATCAGTTATTGATGCTCGATATTAATGAAAAGTATATTTGTTCTTAAATGACAAAAAAATTCACACTAGTGAAGATCATATCCTTTTGACATTGACCAGGCAATCCAATCTGTCTTCTCGTGATTGCTATTTCAGAGCTAAACTCTGTGATCATTTATGGTCAGTTACATTCCTATCCCTTATTTGCTGCCACCTTTTGGATCAGGCACCATTCCCCTTTCTTCATTCTCCCCGCCAACCAGACAGTTATTCCATTGTGCTCTAAGAAGCCTATTTCGAAGAATACCCATTTCATAGGAGTTAGATGGGAATTGCTTTTCACAGTTTCCCAAACTTATGTAGAGTGTAAGTCATTCATGAATAGGGCCTTTCGTGAGATATTTGAGCTTTTCTGCCTTAATATTAAGAGCCTCTTCTGCAAACAACAGTACAATTGTTCTACACGATTTTTGCTCTTTAATCTTCTTAACACCATTAACAGAGCTTTCCTGTTAATATTTGCACTGGACACATCTATATGTTGTATGCATGTCTAAAATGATATATTCATGGGATCCTTCTTCCTCTCTTAACTTACTAATGGGTTGTTTTGTGACCTGTTATTGTGAGTTTGGTTGAGTTTTGACTGTAGTTCACAAGTGGAGACTCTGTTACAGCTGTTGCATGGAGTTTGATTTTGCTACCTGGTTTGGTGTGTTCCTAATGAATGAGCTGCTAACAGGAGATCTGCTACACCTAGTAGAGGATGCAAATACCGTAGAGAATGCTGTACTTAGAGCTTTGCAACTGTAGTATGCAGCCTTTTAATGGTTTAAAACAGACCATTTGAATAGCAGCCTTACTCCTGTATCCTTTATATGATACCTTTCTATTGTTACAGACCACAAAACAAAAAATACAATACTAAAGAGTTAGGTTAAAAAGGATAAATATTTCATCTTTTCACTGGATCAGATCCTGACTTCCAGTAACAGCAAAGTCAGTAAGAGCTTTTTTTTTAAGTGAGTAAGGTTGATTAATTGATGGAGTTATCTCTTTAAATTTCTAAAATGCAACTGTCAGTTCCTGGCCCATAAGCTAAAATGCTAATTTGACTCAAAACTTGCATTGTACGCAAAAATAAAGCACAATCATCTAATATTCTCCATTACCATAACATTTTGGTTTCTTTTCACAAACCTATTTTCCTGTTTTATTAAGTGGATAATGTACTGAGATATATATTTCTAGCTGACTGGCAATTCAACTTTGAGGAGAACAGGGATTTGCCTTCTCCCTTTCATCCTCTCTAGCTCCCATGTGTTAGTTTTTAAATGAAAACATTGAATAGCATAGTTCATATCACCATAAATGACAGCAGATGTGAGAGTGACCTACAAACACCTTAGGCACCTCCATTCAGTAACTTAAGGTGGAGGTATCTGGTATTGTCAGCCCTTTAAGGACAGCTTTTAAAGACCAAACTTTGTTATTTTTATTTAAAATTAATAGGAGAAATCCATAGTGTGAAGCCATGTTTTCATAGCTATACAGGTTTGAGTATATTCAAATTAGCCATGGAATGAATGTTGACATCACGAATATACCACAACATTTGCAATTAATCAATGTCCTGAATTTCGTTCTCAGTATAGATGCTGAGGTTTATGTGAGCACAGAAGATGAGCTGCCCCCTAACTAAGTGGTGGGCAAGAAGCTGCCAGTAGGCTGGATTCGGCCCTCCAAACCACTGGATCCGGCCCACAGCTGCCTCGCCGGAACCCTTAGGCAGAGAACAGCCTACGCTTTAAAAAGCCAGATGTTCTCCATTCTGGATGGCTGGGGAGGAAGGAGGCAGACTTCTTATGCTGTGCCTGCCCCCCAGCAAAATCTCTTACCTCCCATTGGCCAATTTCTCAGTTTCTGCCAATAGGAACTGAGAATTGTTGCTGGGATCAGGGGCAGTGTAGGAAGCCTTCTCCCTTCCTTCTTGACTCCCCTTCCCTCCTCCCTTCGTGCCCGCCTCAGGTTTCTGCTGGTAAGTGACTCCCAGCCAGAACCTGCCTCTGCCACCCCACCTCTCTCCTCCAAACCTCTGCCCTCCTCCACATACCCAAACTCTCAGCCACCTCCTGCACCCATATCCTCTTCCAGATCTGGCACCCCAATCCTC